AATTAGAGTCTTTAGAGGCTTGTAGTGGCAGCCTTGCCACCATCGATAAGGAAAAGGATAAGGCAAATGCTATAATTGCAGGTATGGAGGGAACATGCCAGAATACAGTGTTATTCTTAGAAATAAATGCATTTGTTTAATTTATAAATTTTTGAGTGCTTCAGTGTGTTCAGCACACATCGGGAAAAAAATAAACCACTAAAGTACCATCTCCAACAGCAGTTGTCTCTCCATTAGATATACATCTCTTTCTGATATAAAGCAGCTGCGAGACATTACACTCAGTCAAGGAATGAGCAGCCAACCAACAAAGGGGAAATGCTGGCAGGGGTGCTGACAGGAGCAGAATGAGTAGGTATGGGCAGGGTGATAAAAGATGCTGGCCTATTAGGAAGCAACTCCCCTTAGAGGAAACATGTCACCTGGAAAAGTTACAGTGCTTTCTATCTTCTGTCTGCCTAAAAAGTAGCTTTGCAGCTGTCATTTAATGTGTCATAATTTTATTTTATTTTTTTATAACATCAATACATGATTTTATTAGGACCTTCAGGACCTTTGTTTTGTTTATATGAAACATATTCAGCAATTTAAAGAACATAACAACTTGTTGCAGAAAATTCAGCTCCGGAAAATGCTTTAAATTTATCCTTCCTAGAAGTTAATTGTGCTGGAAATTACTAACACAAAGTAATTTCTAAAAATCTTATAATTTATGGCAAGGCTCTAGGTGTGTTGATCATTCACATCTAGTTGTTACAACAGTCATCTACTTGCTGACTTATATAGTTGACATTGTTGGACCAAATGGGGACATCTGTGATGCAATTGCATTAAGATATGGAGGAATGTATAGTGTACTTTTTTATTTCCCCCCCCCTCTAAAATATTATTTCTCTAACTACCTCTCTAAAAAATTATGTCTCTAACTACCTTAACCATGACTAAGGTCATGGTTAAGGTAGATGAAAGATCATCTTCAGAAGAAATCAAAATTGACTGTTGGTAGGGGACAGGCTGCAAACTCTAGACTCCAGAATCAAAGTGCATCTCAGTCTTCATCAGAAAATGTAGTGCCACATTATCATGGGAATAGCTTGGGTGCGCTTGTAAATGGAGCTGAAATAAATGGCCGCCTTGAAGTTTCTTCAGCTTTCCACTGACTACAGGTCGATAACTGTGTTTTAGTCTGGTGTTTACAGGCGTCTAATGTTGTCTGTTTCTGGTGTTCACTCTGTCTTTGGTCCAGCGTCTCTTTCGCCAAAGTATAATTGTTTCCCACAGCTGTCGCATGCAATGTCGTATACTAATCCAGTTATCCTCTCTACAGGGGCCCTGTCTTTAGCCTTACAGTGTTTTCTGCTGACTCCTTGTGACTTGAAGTCTGGCTAGATGTTCCAAAAGCCCAGCAACATAAGAGAGTCCTCCTAGGATGTTCCTGCTGGTCCATGTTGATTTAGCAGTGTCAATCCTGGTCTTAATTTGAGGTTCAAGTGCCGCCTAAAACGTCTGCACCTCCCTGACTCTGTCCTCCTCCTCATTTCTGCTCTATCTAAGAGGGTCTTTATGTACAGATATCTCCACAAAGGTCTGTTACCTGAGACCATAGTTCCAGTGTGATCCTAGTTTAAATCAATTTGTATGTATTTGGCGCTGTCTTACCTGATGGTTGGGTACAGCTGGGCTCTTCAGCAAGTGTATCTTTCTTATTTGGCCGTGTTTCATAATGCGCTTCAGAGAAGCCCAATATCATTTAAAGGAGCACGGTGAAATCCATATGGTCACCAGGTGACAACTTTGCTTCAACAACCTGGAAAAACGCAAGCACACACCGTCTTTTAAATCTTTTGACCAGTGAAGTTTGATTTCAGCCAACAGCACTTTCTCACCCAAATAGCTGATCTGTGGTGGCGAATTCAATGTTCAGCAAAGTTACGCTTATGTGAAGCAATAGGAAGTACAACTATCTGCTTCCCCAAACTGGGGACGCGCCAACTGCCGTCTACTGCAGGTAACACACTGACTATGTATAAGTACCTCATATAGCCCCACTTGATAAAAAAGCTATCCCTTTAATTTCAGTCTTTTCTTCTTTTTGCAGGCTACTAATGTTTAATATCAGCCGTATACTGTCTACATCCTACCACAACACCAAAAGCTACAGATAAAAACAAATGGAGCAAATCAGTTTGCCTCCAGTGTGTTAAGTGCCATTCAAGGGATTGAAGGATTTTATCAATTCAGGCCCATGTACACTTCAGTCTGTCCTACTCTCTGCACAGATACTGGCATGGTTTATTTGGAAACTGTGTTCACACAAGCACAAGGCGATGAGTGCATGTATCATAGATGACATAATAAAGTAATGGTGTAGTAATGGTGGACATCAATTCAAGGTTTCATGAATCTATAGTCTCCATTGATTCGATGCTACTTTTCACATTTTTAAGCTGGATTCATTTTTTACACTAGGGCATTTTTAATGTTACATATTTTAATACATGGATGTTCAAAGGTAATAAAGCTGGCGAGTCTTCAGAATTACCCCAGGGAGATGGGTGGGTGGGTGTGGAGGGGGGCCTTGGGGAGGAGGTTAATGCATGTATTGAATCATGTGCTAAGCCTTATATTTGAAAGATTGGCTCCAGGGCTGAATGGTACAAATGTTGACAAGACCAGCTAAACCAAGAGAATATTATTGGTCCCCCAGACAAAAGAACACCACCTGCCTGCACCTACACATATTTTCAGCTGTCTCTTTCATTCATTACCTCTCTAACTTGCTATCTCTGTATTCACTTTCTCCAGTTCCCTATCTCTCACTCTCACACATTCTTGCTCAGTTCAGTAGCCAGAATTCATGCTGCCCTTCTGCAGCTGCTGTAGGACTCAAACGATCACAGCTATAATACATCATATTGCTACTTCTGGCTCTGCAATTCAGTCACAGGCATGCATGTGGATGAAAACACAGCACATGCCTGAAATAAATACAGCAAAATTGCTTTGTGTGTTGGAACATAAACGTGTTGTAGATTTATTCAGGGCTTTGTGGAAGTCTATAAATGGCATATCTCCCATTTTATGTGGCCGCATATGGCAGGTAAGGACCGAATAATACTCTGCTCTGTTTAGATTTATACTGTATGTGTTAGAGGGCTGAAGGGGCTGGAATAGGAATTGTTCTGGGGCAGCATGATGAGTTGAAATGGGAGTAGGGATAACACCACAGGGCAGTAAACACATTACTCCTCAAAGAATAAGGCTTGTGATACACTATACTGTTCATATTGTCAACAAATTCCACCAAAAGTACTGTAAAACTAACAATAAATTGATCTTTCCAACAAGTATTGCCTGTGTAACAAAAGCCTGATATACAGTATTGAATTCCTCTGTTCCACAGATCTCCGTTAAAAACACATAATTAAGCCACACTATTGCGCTGTTTAAGAAGCTATTTCATTAAGTGTGGGCACTGTAGTTTATTTTGAGACAGTCCCAGATGCAACAAATGCGTATCATCTGAAAATAGTTTCAGATAAATGCCCTGTTTTCTCTTGCTTCTGACCAATTTTTATAAACTTACATCTTCAGTAGAAACAAGAGCAACAAGAAATATAGCGTAGCACAAGACTGTTTCAGTAAATGTTTCTTAGCAGTAATTAACGTAGTCTTAGCAGTCGGACCAAATGTCAGACCAAAAAACTATCAATGGAGCTGTGTGTGGATCCTTAGCATCCAAATGTTTTAGTTCAAAGGATTCTTCTTCTTCTAAAACTGAGAACAAAGCACTTCAATGTGCAACAGTGCCCATCAGCCTAACTGGGAAACTGGACTGAAACCTCAACATTTTGTGTAAATCTGGTGTTAAGTATTTTGCCCCTCCGCCTCTCCAGTGTTAACTATGGAGTTCTCATGGTGGCATTTTCTCATCATTATCCAGGTACTTTGCTCGGGGTTACATCTCTTTTCCCAGGACAGCCATGGCTTTATTAAGTGTTGCCCACATTTCTATGGATGATGCCCTGTGAGCTAACCAGGGCCTGTGAACAGACAGTCTCCCAGCCCAAGTGGACAGGACTCTCCTCTGGGAAACATGGGACTATACTAAGCTGTTGTTCAACATCAGTAAATGGGTGAAGGAAAGACAGAAAGTCTTTGATAAATGTAGTTCCTGTGGAGGACAAACAAAGGCACTGCAGCAGTTTTGCATTCCATTTGTGATTTTATAATATAAACATCAAGATGCAGATTTATGCAGACTTTTTAAATCATATCAATTATAGGAAGACCCTGACTGGCTTTTAAATGTAATTGAAAAAAACTTTAAAGCACTGACAATAAAAATATTCCCGTGTGACAGATCACCTCTGGTTAGAAAATTACACCTGGGAAATGGAGAAGCAAAGCTCAGATGACCTCAGCCTATGCTCAGGCTCATATGCCATTATATATTGTGGGCCCAGTCCAAGTACTGCTGTAAAATATTTTTTAATTGACTGGAAAATTTATGAGAGTGAAATGTAGCCAAGATAGGTGTTATGGGATCCCTTTTTTTCAAAAGACTGCAGCTGTGTCATAGACCAGCTGGCTGGGCAAGAATGGAGAATGAAGAATATCACTTGAGGCAAAAAAAGTAACAAAATGTGTGACCTTGTCCTCCAACTAAGGAGTATGTCAAAAAAATTTCTCAAAAGTTTCTTTTTTTTAATTTCCATTAAATTTATTTTATTAACAGTGTTATGTAGTGTGAAAGGGGTCATTGGCCAGATCTTGCAACTCCACTTTCATCAACCTCATTTCCAGCCATAGCAGGAAGCTGCTATCAGTGTCACGCTGTACACTACCTGCCTAGTGCCAAATGCCAATTTGCAACTAGCAGCTAGTAAAACAAGTGGAGCATGTAGCACCAAAAGAGCCAGATATTTCTCTCAAGAGTTGGTGGTGTCAAGATTCGTTGAGAGACAGACCCCTAACCGAAACGCACAACACCAAAGAGCTGAATTTAGTTTGTTTATTTAACAAAACTCACAGATGAAGGTTCAAGTCTAAACAAGGCTGAGTTCATGCAATGCAACACAAGAATCCACAATGGGCAGAAAACTCCAACAATCCACAGTTGAACACACATGGGTACAGGTCACTCAACAAATGATAATAACGTGGCATGAACTGGACAGAACTGACAATTGTTTAAACAAGAGCAAACAAACAGGGCGGAGCACAACCAGGAAACACACATCAGGTAATCAGGACAGGGAGAATGCACACACACCTACACACACACACACACACACATGGGCAGAGGGGGAGATACACAGATGAGAAAGAGAGGTTAATCAGGAATGGCACAGACAATATCAGACTAAAACAAAACTAGATGCAGAGACATGGACTAAACTAACAGAAATACAGAAACAAGGACGGAAAAGACAGACAGTTTATCCAAACAGACAGGCACAAGGACACAAAATAAATGGACATATAGATCAAATACCAAAAAAACACAGGGAAAAACAGGTGGACAGGTGGAGACTAAACGGACCTAAAAAGAGAGTGATTATTAGACTTACATTTGTCACAACTCTAAATGAATGATAAGTCCTTGTTGGCTGGATGTGTAAGTAGTGGATAGGTAAGGGTTTGATAACATGTTCACCGAAACAGCTTTATGAGGTGATGTGTCAGTGTTGCAGCATTAAGATTTTACTCATCAAAGTTAAAGCACTTCACAGGCTGGCTTCTAGTATTATTTCTGTTTTTTTATTTTATGCCCTATGATCGCAGCCTCAGATGCTCAGGCAGGGTTCCTCAGAAGTGACCAGGCTTTCATGGTCAGAGTTCCTCACCTCTCTCCCAGTCACCGGCTTGGAGATTCAGTAACATCTTTTAAAATACTTCTCTTTTTAAAAAACCCTGCCATATATTAATATTGTCTCAATTTTTATTTGTTAAATGTGTAGAAGATTTAATTTTATTTCATGTTGTTTTTATTGCATTTTTATAGTTTTATTTTATTTCACCTTTGTATTTCTAGTTGCTTGCTTTTACCTGTCTCATTGTTATGGTTTGTAGTACTGAAATGTTTTAACCTTGATGGACTCATGTAAAGCAGCTTGTAACAGAGCCCAGCTCCTCTATTGACGCTCCCGAACAGAGTAGTAGTGTATTCATTATTGCCCCCGTTCGGGGGTCGATATAAGCTTCAGCTCCTCTATATATGTAAACTCACTTCTGAATAATGGAGGAAGGTCAGAATGGAAGTAATTGATTTAATTTGAGCACAGAAGAGGGAATTGATCTGTGAATAATGTGCTCCGTTTACGGTTGTGAAAATGGTGCCGCTCTGACCTGGATTAATTTGCTTCACTGCGTAAGCAAATATGAGGTGTTTCTTTTCATGCCGTCTCAATGTAAAGATTTAATTCTGTGCTTAGTCAGAAGAATATATTTGTTTCTTAATACTGAGTTTTACACTATGATGGAAAAAAACAATCATATTCTTAAAAGCTTTATCACACCCACATTTTCTTTAATTAAAAACATGATTTTTTTCTGTCTTTCAATACAATATGTACATCTCTTGAGTCATATGGATTGATAGAATAATACAGTACATTACAACATATTTACATACCAATGAGTACAATACAAACCATCATCAGCCAGAGGCCTGAAAAGGTTTTCTGTCGTTTCAAGTCTGTAACCTCAGGTTGATGGACCTGAACAGTGAAGTTTTGATGCCCAGCACATCTGATGTGTTAGCACCCCCTTCAGTTAGAGCACTGTGTTGTCCAGTGTTTCCAGTGCTTCTGCATTGAGTAAAAAAATGCCCTTGTGCATTAGACCAAGAAAAAAAAGACAGGAGAGGATGAACAGACTGAAAAGGGAGAGGACTGTAAAATATGAGGGCATTTAAATATTTTAGAAGCAGAGGGAGAACAAATTGAATAAGACAATAGGATTTTTATTTTATATTGTTCTCTATCCAGTCTTTGAAGTTGGGTACATGTGTGTAGACTGTGTACAGGTCAGGATCACACTCTCCTTGCTCATAGCCAAAGCTCACCAGTCCCAGCAGTCTCCACAGCCCTTTTCTCTCCCCCTGCACCTGTGTGAAGCTGAGAGAGGGCTTCTGGTTGTCACTGGCTTGGCTCTGAGAGAGGGCAGGGAGGACAAGGATTCCCCCAGTGTCAGAGGGACATATGTTAGAGGACCCATAGTCAGGCTTTTGGCTGGCACAGAGCATATTATCAGTGACGCTGACTGGCAGGCCATTACGAGCATACTGTTGCTCACATGGGACTACATCAGCAAGGTGAACGAGCCCAACCCTTGCCTTCTCACCAGGACCTAAATTTGAATCAGGCAGTGGAGACCAGCCTGTCACAAGTGCTTGCCCAGAGGTCACCTCTTCTCCCTGGCTGTCTGAGAGGCAGAGGGGCAGGACCTTCTCCCCGATCCTTGCCTTGTCCAGTAACTTGACCACAGCCATGTCAGAGTCAAGAACATGGGGGTCGTAATTTGGATGAACAACAATGGAGGCCACCTAAAAGAGAAAGAGATGGACTTAATGTGCAAGTCTGGTTAAAAATCATTACAAAACAAGATCTACTATAGCTTACCCTAAGGTGTTGAAGACCTTTACTTTCCCTGTGGTCATCACGGTAGTGCTTCCCTACTACCACCTTAATCTTGGCTGCATCTAGAGGATACACCTTCCCCAGCTCTGTCACACAGTGGGCTGCAACCACCACACTCCTTTGGTTCACCAGAGCCCCACTGCACACCAGCTGCCAGTCAGAAGCCTGATCATGGTTGCCAGTTCCTGTTCCAATGGCCTCCTTCAGGGACACTGTCTGGCTGTCTGCCTTTGTCACCTTGGTGTCAGCTCCATTGGTGGAGCGGCGGTAGATGGCAGCCAACCAAGGCCAATGAGCCTCTGCCGGCCTCTCTGGGTCGAAGGTTGGATGCTTCCCACACACTGCCAAAGAGGAGGTGAGAGGATGGGAGAACAGAGAGGGAAAAGTAAGACAGGAAAAAATTAGACTAACATTGAGACTGTGTCAACACTTCACGCTGTGAGGCTACCTTTGAACTGTCTTTCCCTTCTGAGAGATTTTATCATAAATGTGCACATTAGCTTGCTGTTTAAAAGATTATTTGCCAAAATGCAGGGGCATGGATGGAGCAACATATAAAATACTTAAAAGCCACACAGTGAAATGTGAGAGCCCCTCTCCATTGTCCATTAATGTAGATGGATATCCGCTTTAACAACCCTCTGAAAAATGCATTACGGGGGATTCAAACAAATTCTTTTTCCCATTGTCATCAACCAAGCAATAAATAAAAATTAAATAATAAATAAATGATGGGGCAAGCATAATACATTCTTAGACTTCTGAGCGGCTTTTGCTACTTTGTTCCACAGTATCAAGATCCAAAAATTAATCTAACTCCAATGTTTGTTGACAATGTCATAGATGTGCAGACCTCTTTAATTAAAGGTGAAAACACCACACAGACCCAACACATATCCATGTTGGTATTGAGGCAGGCTGTCTATGAAGAACTGTCAGTTTTGTGGCTGGCCCAGTGTAACTTCCTTTCACTCTGTGCAAAGACGATAATCATATGTCTAACATAACGTTGAAAATTAAGACCTATTTTAAAGCGATATAGTCTGGAGGAGAAAGGTTCCAAGTGGACAACTCTGTGTGGAAGAAATCAGGGCAACCACCTTTTGGTATTGTGAATCAGAATTGTCCTTAGCAACATTATTACATTAATGGGAATTTACAGTGTGAATGGAACAACACTGCAACAAAGCTCCCCTATCTCCTGTATATGCTGAACGAGGATGACCAAACTGAATGAAATCAGCAAGAGCGCTGAAACCACATCCACACCAGATCCACCACAGTCGGCTGCTTTGTGGGCTTATCAGACTTCAAACTAAACTCAACCGGTCTATCTAGGGTTCCACAACAAGGATGTCCAGCATTTGTTGCACTATTATGTTGTGCAAGGTACTAAGACCTTGCCAAACATTAATATGATATGTAAGAGCCTTTGTGATAAAAGTGTTGGGTCATCTGAGAAACAACACACAAGATGTTGTTGTTGCTGATGATGAAAAAAAAGGTGACTGTTGGGTAAGTAGGTTGTTCATTTTATTACAGCCCAGAAAGAGCCTTGTTTATTACTATTTGTCACTGCATCTATCTCTTTTAGCTCAGCTGTAAATGACAGCTATTGGCTTTTCATTTTAGAAGCTTAGGGAACTTTCACTGAGTACTAATGAGAGGACTATAGCTGGCAGGATCGCTGAAGATGGGTGGCAAATCTGACAACATATTGCTCAGTGTCAGCAAATAAAGTGCAGAGATAATATTTTTAGAAAGGTCTGCCGCCCATAGTGACTTGCTTAATATTGTCGTATAGTTTTCTTGTTGCTATGTGGGTGTAAATCACTGTATCAAAATGTTTGTCAGTGTGTTTGTTCTGTGGCAGTGCCTGGTTATTTCCAGTGATTAGACAACTAGTGGTCCTCTGCTGCCCCCACCTGGTGAACAGGACACATGACGCCCGCTCCATTTCCCAGTCTTTAAGCAAGTGCGACGAGAACTGCCAGAGTGTTGGTAGAACGGAGAGGCACATTCATACTCTATATGTGTGTAAAGGTGGTGGAAACCCTTTGGCAACTGGGAAAGCACCGGGGGGGCTTTAGTGGGGCCGGCAGACTGGAGTTGTCGTCCCAGCCCAGAGGAGTAGAGCTTGTGCACAGGTGTCTTTCTGAGGGGAAAAGAACAGGCCAAGGGTGTGTAGACACACAATGCTTTTAAATGTGAGTGCAGAAAAATGTGCTGTATGACATGAGACTTATTGCTTTAATCCTTCAGTCACTAAATAGCATAATAATATAGACTACAGCATACTTATGGATGTCAAGTATTTTATGTTAAATGCTTGTTAAATAACATAATGCATTCGTAAACATACCTGGATGGTGTCTGAGGTGGAAGCACTCTTTGTATAACCAGCTCTGATACTTTAGGCTCCCGACATGCTGCAAATAGACACGCATACATGAACACACACACATAAAGGTTGGAGCTGTGATTTGAATGGAGCTAATGTGACACCGTTAGTGGACTGTAGGGTATTGTGAACTAAAAGTGCCATGTCTTTAACAGTAACACTGTCTAATATGGCATACTTTGTGAAGGTTTAAGAAGTTATAAGCAATGGCTTTAATAATGGTTAAAGGAAAAGTTTGATATTTGTGAATGTCTGTACATATCTGTACTTTAAACATGAGCTAGTTAGCTTAGCCCAGCATAAAGACTGGAAACAGGGGGAAACAGCTAGCAGCACCTCTGAAGCTCACAACTTGTTATATCTTGTTTGTTTAATCCGTAGAAGTGTAAAAAACAGAACTTGTGCTTCAAAGATTTAGAGGTGCAGGTGGATTTTGTTACCTCTGAACAGAGCCAGACTACCTTAGCTGTTTTGCCGTTTTAAGTTACATACAAGCTAATCGGATGCTGGCTGTAGTTTTTATATTTAACAGACAAGCATGAGAGTGACATCAATCTTCTCATCCAACTCTCAGCAACAAAGAGAAAAAGAGTATTTCCTAAAACGTTGCACCAACTACCTAGGTTGAAATTAAAAAAATCTTGGCTTCTGTGTTTCCCTTAAGAGCGTAAGTTGCTTTGGCTTTTATTCCTAGCTTTTTAATTCATCATGAAACTTTAGCCAGTGGATATTTTGATCACTTACCTTTTGGCAAACAGCTGAAGAGCAGCCAGACCAAAAGCCGTTAAGAACTAATTAACATTTACAACTCCAGACTTGATGGATTATTGTACTGCAAGAATCATTTATCCCATAGCATTTAAGGTTAACATTTGTTTAGCATTATATTGCCTTTTACTTACTGGCCTTTTTTATCTACAAGTCTGATGGCTTGATATAAAGTGAGAAACCCCCTTACACCCTTTATTAATTACTTACTCATTGTCCAATTAAACATTGAGTCTGAAGTATTGTCTGTACTTGAAAACCCTTTAGATGGTGTACCTAATCATCAATTATCAATGCAGTGACCCTCAGAAAAAATGCTGCAGCCTATGTACATGCCTACAGAAATGTATACCTCCCACAAACAACCAAAGTTACTTAAATAAAAAAACAAAAAAACAGTGACCAAACAGATGACGGTACCTCTGACACAAATGGGTGGTTTCCCACTCCAGGTACCATTTGGCTGGCAGGTCCGTTGGGCATCACCACTGAGAGCATAAGAGTGGTTACAGAAGAAATCCACTGTTTCAGGCTCCACCCCAGGCACCAGCTGGTGGTAGCCATGGTAGAAGCGTGGGAGAGGTGGGCAGCTTTTCTCTGCAGAAGGGGAACAGACAGTAGGTGAGGGTGAAGGGCCAAAGAGAATAGGATAATATTCATTTATATTCTTCTCAATAAATCTCTTACCGGTGAAGCTTTGGTTGACTTCTTTCTCCTTTTCTTTTTCTTTCTCCTCTCTCTCCCGCTCCAGCTCCTCCTTTGTTTTCTCAGCAGAATCCTTCTCTGTCTTGTCCTCTTTAAATGTTGGCTTTTCGTTTAGTTTCCCACTTTCCTCACCTCCTGCTCTGTACATGGTGTACTGTGTAATGTTGACTCTGGTGGGGATGAGTTTCCTCCCTGGCTCTGTGGAACCTATGGTATTATTTTCTTTCTTTGTGTCCTTTGAATCATATATAACTGTGTTGTTCTTTGTCATTTCCAGTTCAAATATCTCCACTGTGTTTTCACCCTCAGCTATAACCGTCCTCAGCTTGGTGTCATTAGGGCCGACTTTGTCCGGATCCTTTTTTCCATTCACTTGCTGATCTTTTCTTTCCTTCTCTTCCTGCCCTTTGTCTTTTATCACAACTATTTCTGTGATATCTGTCTTTCCTGTTTCCATGTTTGTGTCTGGGGTGCCTTCTTTTTTCTCAGGTGGCTTTCCTACTCCAGGTACTCCCTTTTCAACTGTATTCAGGCTGTTGTCTGGGGCTGTACTATCTACTTTATCTTTACTGCCTCCAGTGGGTTTTTCTGACCCAGTATTTCTTTCCTCTAGCTCTCCTTCATTCCTACCCTCAACCACAGTTTTCTCTGGAATGGTACCATTATATTTATCTTCTCTCTCGACTGCAGTTGTATTCTTGTGTCCAGTGTTTATGTCTTTCCCTCCGACACGTTCTTTTTCTCCAGTTGGGCTCTCTAGACCTTTCTCTTTAGTTTTCCTGATGTTTTTGTCAATGTGTGTATCTATTTCTGTCTCTTTTGCCATGTCTTTGTCTTTTTCTGCTTCAGTGAGAGTGTTGTTCACTGTGAATAAAGAACAAATCAAAATTGGCTCGTCATGCTGAATGGCTCTAGGCACAGACTCATTTTCCTGATCCATTAAAGCCCATTATCCTTATAAAAATATAGTAAAATGAACTGTATGTTTTCTGCACTATTTGCACTGACTCATCCACCCTATCTCTAATCCCCATTATTTAAGACACTTTGTCTGACCTTGGGTGCAAACAGGAGGAGTCCCACTCCAGGTGTTGTTAGGGAGGCAGGTTCTCTGGGAGCTCCCACTGAGTTCATAGGGTTGGTAGCACAGGTACTGTAGAGCAATGAGGACATCGTTTGGTCCATAAACCAAGAAGTGGTCCCCATGTGTTGGCTTGGGTGGTAGAGTACATACTTGCTCCACTGGAACTGGAGACAAGAAATAAAATCAGGCTTTTAGAATCACCCTTTTTCCACAATCTTCACCATGTGTGGCATCCAGAGACAAGCAAATGACACACATATGACTTTCACAGATCGCAAAATGTAATTATTTGGCAAACAAAAAACAGTTATCTTACCACACTCTGGGACAGGCGCACTCCAGGTGCCATCACTCAGGCAGATGGCAGTACGAAACCCCCGCAGCTCAAAGCCAGAGTCACAGTGGAAAGTAATGTGTGCCCCCGAGTGATGAAACAAACCCTCTGTGGATCCATGGGTGGGCACTGGAGGCCTGCGGCATCCCACCACTGAGTGAAAATATAAGCATGCGCATTTTATTCATGAAAATGTGTTGTCTTATGTGCCAGTTTCTTATCTGAATGATCATCAAAATTGGAAACACTTGGCACCTTCCTGCTGTAGAAGACCACACAAATAGACCATCAGTGGGTTCATTGCCTTCTGGCATTTGTAGTTCAGACAGGTAGCCCAATAACCAAAATCTGAGCTCTCAGACTCATTATTCTCAATTTAAAAATGTCGAGAGCTTTAAAGGCATAGCCCGCTACCTCAGAGGCTCATTAATGAATCATTTTACCCACCATAGTAAAGTGTGAACAGTTCACAGCAAGACTTTGTAAATGCAGAAGAAATAGTTGCAATAAAAGATCTTTAGTCAAACTCTTCCATTTTCCACAGTGTTGTAAAAGTGGATTTTATGAAGTGGCGTAGTTGAGATTGGAATTGTGGTGGTGGAATACTGTTTAACTCTGTTATATGCCAAACTATGGTAAAATAATATCCATGTCATTGATGGGGGAAATTATTGTGTTATTCTTTTTGTATTTTGTGATGTGCTGTTTCTTGCTGAGTATAGTATCTATTTCTGTATTCAAGGCAAACTGCAAATGTGCACACATGTTGTGGTAGGACTGCACCACCCACATCTGAGTTCATAAAACCCAAACACACATGTTAACACTATGGTTATCATACCATTACAGCACTCTCTGTGAGAGTTTTTCTGTGTTGTTGGGTCAGAACCATGAAATGCGCTGTCTGTGGTTTTATAGTCCCAAACCAAGGAACTCTCCCAATAATCAGGGCGTTTTTGCCTTACGGCATTTCCAATTCCGTCCCTTAGGGGATGGAAAATGCTGTTAGCCAGCTACAAGTGGAAAAGTAAACTGCAGTTGACCTCCTTTAACTTTGTTTTTAAACAAAAAAAGTTTTAAGCACCCTAAGGCCCGTTGTTGTATTGCGCTTGAATGATTCATCTTCCATGTCAAATTTTGTCCACAGACAAAAATGACATGAGTCGGAGTTATTGGGGTGGAATGCTAACAGATTAGGCATAACATCACATACTGTAAATAAATCTTCATTCCTTTTGTTTAACACTGCACTCCAAAACAGAGTGTGCCAGAGAGAGAAAAGAAAAGGGGAAATAAATTATTATTATTATTATCTTAAGTTTCTACAATAATGTGTCAAGATTCTCTCATACAGAATGAGTTTTAGCTCAGGCTCACAACAGATGACAGGTTGATTATTGGAGGCTTAAAATACAGCTGAAGTCAGGTTCAGTTTTCCATCTGACTCCAGGGCAGAAATGTAGACTACATTCCCTCTACAAAATGTCAGACATTACCGTTATTCCAGCTCTCTTCCATTAAAATTAACAGCTGAGGATCCTCATGGGAATGCAAATGAATGCACACTGTGTGGAATGAAACGCCTGCCTGTTGCCTCCTCCAATGGAAAAGCTGGCTCGTGTTATAGAAGTAGAATTGTTTCGCCATTCGTTTTATAGACTCGAATTTAGCTCTGAGAATGACACCACGAGAAAAAAAAAGTTCAGGAAGTCTGTTTTTTCAGGTTCTTTAGGGAGGTGTGTTGGATATAAAAACACAAGTTAGGGTTCAGACACCCATAAATAAAAGCCCCTGTAGGCCAACCACACCCTAATTGAGGCTGTACCCCACATGACGAAGTGGAGCTCTGCCAGTGTGCTTCTTTCTCCGTGTATTTGGTTAGAGCATTTTTCCCTTTTAATTTCAGTTGCAGAATGAGTTCCTGCATCAGTTGCTTCAAATACTGCTCAATTAAACACAAACATATTTGTTAGATGGTCATTTGGATTCACAGCCCATCTGTTGAAACTTTATAAGTCTTGAAAACCAAAACCAAAACCATAGATGGGACTGCAGAGACGGGGAAGGCAGCTGGCCTGAACGCAGTCCAAACCACAGACTTCTCCCTTGTGATAGTGAATCACTGCCTGACTCTTGGCGGCAACAATAACAACAATCAAAAAGGCTTTCAGGAAGGGGTCAATGTTCGATAAGTTTGTTGTAACTAGGTGTGCCTGATTTCAGAGGAAAATTGCTAAAATAATTCTGAGAAGAGTCAATACAGTAAGACGCAAGAGATGGAACATTCAAGTCATGCCTACAGAATGCCATAAAGACTGGTTTATTCTTCAATGTGATTAGAACCTGAAGGCATTTTTTCTCCCCCCCCCCCTCCCAAAAAAAACTAAAATATTAGCATTTTTCAAGCATAATAAGCTTCTTTTATGTAGCAGACTCACCATTCTCACATCTCTTGCCTGTGTAGCCAGCCAGACAGGCACAGTGGTAAGTGTAAGAACTGTCCAGGATACAAGTCCCATCATGCAGGCAAGGAGAGGAGCTGCAAGCTGTAAACATACAAGTGAGTGATATTAGGGCACAGGAAGAAATGTTTTGTTTTATAAATGTATTAGCAGTATAGTAATGCAATCTGTATGTCAAAATGGCTGTCCACGCCAAGATACATCAAGGGATTCATGTCAAAAGTTGGCACTATTAAAATGTCATTTTCACATTCAATTTCTAAATGTGTGTAAGCTACACAGAAAGCCTCTGTTAACTTTTACTAGATCTGGCTTAGCCACTGGTAACTTACACATGTGTGTGTCGTTAGTTTTAAACCTTGAGAATGAGCACATTGCTGGAAAGTAAAACCTTCTGGACGGTCCTCACTTTCTCAACGGGCTGTTAGCAGGCTCAACACTCTGACAAAGGCTCTTGCAGAAACCTGTCGGTGTCAGTCATGCACTGTTGAAGGCTTTTTATTACAGACTGGAGTGTGGAGTTCCTTGGAAACTTCTTTCTTGTTCGTATTTGTTGTGGCCCATGACTCAAAAGAGCCTTTTTGTTCATTGAGTATGACAAATTACATTTTATTTATTGTCTCCATAGCAAGGACACACTCTTGGGCTGTTATTGGATTAGGATTTGGTTTGGGGTTTAAGGTTAAAATTGACCCTAAGATATGGTCATGGTTAGAGCTTAGGATTTGGGGAGGGGAATTCATCATGTCACCAGTGATCCTCGAAAGTATACAAGTAAACTATTAGTAGCAAATAAATATAAATAACAGTAGTAGGGTTTTTTTGCTGTTGTTAAATTACACTGGTATTCAACCTGCCTGAACTCTCCTGGAAAGTGGCAAAGAATCCATCAAAATTCTTGTAACCATCAGACACAAAGAGTACGTGCAGACTGTTGCCAGAGCTCTGAACTGGTGCAGGTCTGTGGTTCCCACAGACTCGAGCGATAACGCGCGAGTCGATGCTGTCACCATCTCGGACCTCCACGTAGTCATAACGACAAGAGTGGTGAAACTCCAGACTCAGCATCATGAACCTGGGGGAAAAACATAAAGCAGTAAGTGTCTGAAAAACTTAGTGTTTTTAGTGTAGTGTTAAGACAATTTTAAGTACATTTTTAAAAATAAAATGTGAACTTATTGGTGTAACTGTTCGGGTTTGTGTTTTCCTGGATTACGAGAGCACCTGTGTTCCCTGGCAGTGGCACTGCAAGCTGGCATCATGGTACTGACGCTTTAAAATCTTCAGCCAGCATACAAGTAATGACCACTAATGATAGCTACTAAATACATTAACGACTGCTGAAGGTGATTTGCCCCACTATGACATGGCCTACTGCTTCTAATGGTGTGCGAAATGTGTCTCATTTTAAACCAGGTGCCACTACAGTTAAGATTTAGATTCATGTTTTTTTTTGTTGTTTTGTTTTTTGAGATTAGTGGGAGTAAAGGTGTTTGGAGCAGTTTTTAAGGAAATAAGTAACTTGAGATCATGACTAAGACAGGTATAGGCAAGTAAGACCATATTATTATTGTATGGAGCAACTTTGAACCAATATCACTAAAGTGAGATGATATATTTGAGATAAAGCACAATCATTATTGACACTTGGCAACAACGATAACGACAAAAATCTGAACTGAGTGGAAATTTGTCTTAAGCAGGCCAACCGTAATAGCTATTACAGATGGACAATAAAGATCCCCAAAACGAATGCTTTAATGTCAGTCAAAAACTGTGGTGATTTTGACTTTGAGACACAAAATTTTCTTCTGTTTCCAACATGTTTATTTGTAAGCTGTGGTCATTATGTGTTTATTAACTTATTTGTTCACTTGTTGTCTGTGTAACCTAACAGACTAACAGATATGGATTCTTCAGTTGAACGTAGTTCCAGTGAAAACTGTTGACAGCGGTCTGTGGGTTATTCAGGATAACTAGGGCACTGTTTCTGAAAAGACATTTTGGTGTTGAATATTTTAATGTGGAATGCAAATGTTGGATTAACGGTCGGTTGGTTCATCACGTTTAGATTGCCATGACATTTTGTACAGTCATTTGAGATGTGTCTAATGATGAAATAACTCAGCTGTATTCCAAGGAAGGTTAAAATCAAGGGTGCTTGGTTCGTTGACGACTGTCATTCAGACTTGGCAACAACGATAAAATAATTAGCACATTATGAAACCAAAAACAGATGCCTATCTTTGGCTGTGTGGCTTTGGCAGGCTTTAAAACATCTTGAGAATTTTTTAAATCCCTATATTTAATAGATCATTTGTCGTTAACACTCATTATGTGCCTATCTAACAGTTTAAGTGCACAAATAATTGCCATTTAATTTATGTAACTGGCAGTAAGTACTGCTGATACACAGCATTACCCATCCCAGTCTAAATAAACATCTCATTATTTCAGATCAGTGGCTGTTAAAAGTCTATAAAATATATCCACGAATGCTGAAGAAGCATGTTGATTGTGCAACATTATTACCAAAACAAGTAGCACGACATGATTACTGTTATGAAAAAAAGTTATTTGTGTTAAAGTTTCCAAAACGTGTTCTAAGTGTGTTTTAAAACACCCATGACATCCAGAGAGAGTGGCTGTAGCTGCAGTGGTCTGTTTCACTGTGAAATGAAGTGAGTATAATAACTGTTAGAAGAAATTTACATACACTTTCAATTCATGAGCTGTTTGGTTCAGTCGCAGTCCGAGTGTGACATTGAGAGGACTGCCAGCTGGATTAGGAACAACACAAAAGAGTCTCCTCTTCCCTTCTCTCTGATTTCAGACGTAATCTCCTTGCCTTAAATTGGAATGGACATGAAGGACTGATGAACTTTATACAAGACACTGGCATGCTCCCAAATCCTCTAATTTTACCCTTTATCACAGACCCTTGGGTCAGGGAAGCTTAGACTAATGAGATGGGCAGTGATGCTAAATGTTAGCCTGCAGCAGCTCCCAACAATACGTGCAAGTTGTAATTCATGAATACTTTGCTTGTGATGTGAGTTAAATAAAAAACCCTGTCAGTAATTCCACAGTCACTCAGGCACAAACATAACTTCCCATTAGTCTATCTCTGAGCATTGCAGCTATTTTTCATTTAGGGGTTTTATTGGATTTATGTCACAAACGATTTAAGAATATGACATGTAAATATTAGACATCACTATATTATGTATATGTTTGTTTGTTGCCGCCTAGCAATCTATGCATGTCATAGTTCACGGTTGTTAAGTTTAATGCAAAGCTTTATATGTAGCAGAAGAAATACTAATTAAAAGTCTTTTATGCACGCAACAAACCACTACCTTATGCACTGCACACTCAGCCTGAATCTAACTGTATGGAGCTTTGTTCTGCTAAAACTCTGCTCAAATGCTTGCCTGTAAAATTCTGTATGCGTAATGGAGAAAATTACAGAAATAGAAAGTTATCACAGGACTGAAAAGTAATAACTTTCCTGAAAAAAAAATGGAGTGTTGTGGTTTCCAAACTTTGCTGTAAACTTGCCATCCGTCCATGACATACTACATCTTGCAGAAAAATCTGAACTGAGTGGAAATTTGTCTTAAGCAGGCCAACCGTAATAGATATTACAGATGGACAATAAAGATCCCCAAAACGAATGCTTTAATGTCAGTCAAAAACTGTGGTGATTTTGACTTTGAGACACAAAATTTTCTTCCGTTTCCAACATGTTTATTTGTAAGCTGTGGTCATTATGTGTTTATTAACTTATTTGTTCACTTGTTGTCTGTGTAACCTAACAGACTAACAGATATGGATTCTTCAGTTGAACGTAGTTCCAGTGAAAACTGTTGACAGCGGTCTGTGGGTTATTCAGGATAACTAGGGCACTGTTTCTGAAAAGACATTTTGAATATTGTGTGGAATGCAAATGTTGGATTAACGGTCGGTTGGTTCACCACTTTGGTCCAGAATGAAATTTCTCAATAACTTTTGGATTGCCATGACATTTTGTACAGTCATTTGAGATCCCCATTTAAGATGTGTCTAATGATGAAATACCTCAGCTGTATTCCAAGGAAGGTTAAAATCAAGGGCACTTGGTCACAACGACTGTCATTACAACAGCCAGGAGCACTAACGAAACAAGCAGTGTCCATCACCTTGATAACAACCTCACAGAGGTAAATGTCTGGGATTCCCAACCAGTTAGTCATAGCTGAAGAAGCCCCTTGGATGAGAGGCGAAACGTCTTCAAGTATCTTAAACCAAGTCCAGTTAGTTGCCCTTGATTTTACCTTCCTTGGATAACTATGACCTGGATGCCTGAGAATCTTCACAGATGTACTTTGTTGTTTAGTGCTAATATTAGCATGCTAAACTATGATTGTGAACATGGTAAACATTATATCTAAACATCAGCTTGTTAGCATTATCACTGTGAGCATGTTAGCTTATCACTGTGAGCATGTTAGCATTATCACTGTGAGCATGTTAGCATACTAAAGTTAGCATTTAACTAGCACTGGAGGCAGCGCTGGAGCTTTTGGACAAATACACACCCATAGTCGGACCGAATACTGCTGCTAGAACTGGGCGGTTGGTGGCAGAAGGAGCTCAGAGTTAAAACGTTGATCTTCACTTGCGCTTCTCAACAGCGAGCCACCGTGTGTTTCTGGTTCCACTGTTGCGTCAGTGGGCATCCAGAGCTCTGGGGGACTACTAATTCATATTTATATAAAAACCTGACAAAACTTGACATCACTTGGAGGAAAGTAAGCAAGGAAGTTGAACTACCTGGTAAGTTCATAAAATATGTGTCTATTACTTGATTACAGCTATCGTTGTACTTTATTGTGAACAAGTTTCCATAGCACAGGCCTGATCGATCCAAACTCCATTCAGAAAACAAACATTTTAAAAGTTGTTGTTCTGCTGTCTTGCTGACAGACCTGACAAAGCAAGAATTCATATGTTTAACAAATCGGCATCCTGTTGTAGTCATTTAGACATCATTTTGATATTGCAATTAAAGCAGAATGTTTGTTGTGTATATTCGCATTATCACGTTGTGTGTGAACACTGCAGTAGTCCAGCGATAAAACCTCCGCCTAAATTTGCGTTAGTTTAGTTAGTGATTTTACCGTTTACCATTCTGTGATAAGCAAAATAAACCATTTTCAAGAATATTATCACTAACCTTCCTGATTTAACTGATTACCTCCAAAATTTGCTCTGAGGACCAGTGAACTGCTATAGAAGCACAATGCTTATTGTCTGACCTGAGCTCTATGGTAAAAGCACGGTCCACCTGTATGGTCCACTCACACCGAGCATTGTTGGGGTAACTCTCCAGTACCAAGTGGCCTTGCCGTTTACGGATCACTCCCCCACACTCTGAAAAACACATGGAAAAGAATTCCATTTTGGAAAGCTGTGCAGAAACTGGGATGCTATTTAAATTTAAATTACAACTTCATTATTAGGGTGTTATTTTGATGGTCAACATTCAGCTACTGTGGTTACCACTCAAACCACAAACTATATATAAAGATGGACAACATGACAGCTCTGCAAAAGTGAAGCCAAAAGGGGGGGTTCACGTCATGATTAACAGCTGAGCCCTGCCCACGACTGAGTTGACCGGGTGTATGGACGGGACCTCAATACCGCGACTCCACCCCCCGATCACTACTGCTCAGACTATCCAAGGAAGGTTAAATCAAGGGCAGTCTCTTGGATGAGGGACGAAACATCTTCTTCTTCTTCGACAGCCCTTTATTTTAACCTTAACCTCCAACATCCTGCTCAGACTCTGGCTCCAAATGATGTCACCAGCGCAAGATGGCAGCGCCTGTATCCGGGATATTTTGGTTTCATTTTTGTACATTGGGAGGAAGTCGAGACACGTCCATCTTTATATATAGTTTATGGTTCAAACCAAAAGCAATTATAATTGAGTTTCCTAAGCCACTGTAAAGGCCCTATGTTGTGCTCACCTAAATAAAGAAGCACAAACACAACATGCATAGCGGCAACACAAGCTTTCAGCAGCCTTACCAGGGTCTGCTTTTAATTAAATGTATGCTTGTAGTGCCCCTTGGCAGCATATTTGCATATAGAGAAAGCTACAGTCAGAGTCCAAATGTTACTTATTAAATAGGTTTATGGGATTCCTGATTGTTGACTCTGACTTGTCATTCAGCTCCTCATGGAAAACCTCCTAGGCATATGGCAGTCTTCCAAACTGGCATAGTTGTCCCAGATGAAGGTAAATCAGCATGGAAGGAATGTATATATAGTACATGGTAAACATTTCTCTTGTAGAAAAAATCATTTAAAGTAAAGCCATGTAGGATCCACTAATTGGGAGAACAAAGAGACTTACTCATGCAGTCTCCGCCTGACCAGCCAGGCCGACACTCGGCACAGTATTTGCCACTAATGAAGAAGTCATCCCTGGGCCCCCATGTGCCATTGTTACAGCGCTTACAGTTCTCAAATATACTGCAACCTGAAAGAAAGAGAGCCAGAAACAAAATGACAGTAACGCAAGAGTCAGGCTGAAGTCTTTCAAAAGTTGTTCTTTTTTGTCAGAACTGGGTACACTTTTCCCAAACAGCTTGATCTGTGTCACCCACCATCAGAAGATCACAGCCATGTTTCCTTAAAATAAGCTCTGTTAAAGTCATTTAGCTCATCTGTCATTACAACATGATGTACAAAAATATTGCTGCTTCCTGAAATAGAAATGTGGAGAACCCCCTTGAAATAGCGTCCTAGATGGATGGATTTTCACTTTAGAGACTGCCCCGTCCATGGGGGGAAGATCAACATCTGACCGGAGTACAGGTATGATTTTAACAACAAATGGGCTTGAGATGTACACATGGGGATTTATGATGTACAGCTCTCCATTAAATTCTGGTAAGCTGTTTTTTCCCCCGTAAAGGAAATCATGAGTATATTCAAGCTGTGAAGAAAACGTGACATGCTTCTATAGGCAGTTAGCATGTAGGAAACTAACACAAAGAAAGCAAGGCTTACGATGTATGAGCTGCAGCACATGTATGTGGACGCCCCCATGTGATTATGTTCTTATGTACTTAAATACACACAGGAACTTCTTTCACAGACAATGATGCACTCATCTCAAAGTATAAACATTCAGTTCATGTTATTTCATTCACAAATCAAAGTTTTAGGTGTTATCATTCACTCTTGTATTCTGCCAGTAAGTCAAGCGATGGAGGCAATGTGAAGTTGGCCTGGAAACAAATTAGATCAGACACAAATACTGAAGATATTTTCGGGCATTCTGTCATACTGTTTGTAATGCTACAATGAAACATCTTTGCACTTGATAGACAACACTTGGTCTTGCACAGACTACACTGCAGATAGACTAGTTTTAAAGATGGAGATTTATGGGCTGACTAGAATCAACAGGTATACTTTAAAAAGGGAACGCTCAGTTCTGCCAACTTTTTTACTCTTTTGAATGTAATAAAGTTTGCAGCATCTGATCTAATTGAAGCACTCGTTCAAATATAATTTGCAGAGGTTCTACCTGGGTGGATTATGCAGGGGTCACACTCATTGATGGCGTTGCGGCAGCAGGGGACCGCGTAGCCCACCGGAGTCCCTTGTAGGGGGCATTTACAGCGAATCACATCATACTCGCAGCAGCCTCTGCACATTACGTTCCACTCAGGACCCGGGCAGTGGTTGTACAAATACCTGTAATCTAAACAAGACATCAGCGTGAGCAACTCACTCAATCACTCAAACAAGCACTCAGGAAACATGTAATTATGAAACCATCATTTTATACGTGTTCAGAAATAAAGGGGAAGATGAATCAAACATGGAGAAAATATGACAAACGCATAATGATTGGCCTTGTAGGAAAATGAGAGCAGGCATAGGTTATGGTCAGCAGCAACCTGAGCAGCAGTGAAAGGATTCTGGTGAGTTGGGTTTTAATCTGAGCTGCTGCTCTGCACTGTCTCTCTGGGTATTGCTAATGCCATGTGGTTGCAAGCTCCTCTTTAGGGGACCGCAAGTCTCCCAGTAATTTACCTCCTTTGTGTGTTCTCATAATATATTACATCAGACAACATGCCACAATGGTAAAGTCACTGTCATGGAAAACACAATCAAATCATTAATCAGAAAGTGCTTTGTGATCCTCACTGTAAACACTAACATTTGTAAGGTTTTTACCCAGTAAATGCAATGTTTAATTGAATTGGAAACCAGTGATTCAAGGACCTTTGAGCCTCAGTGGTTATGATTATGTAACAGTGGATTTAAAAGCTGAAACAGACAAGTGGAAATTCTCTTGTGGCAGACGTGGACGGAGAACTAACAGAAGCTGCACTTTAAACTTGGCACAGTGTCGGTGCAGTGTTTTGTGCAGCAAGCCCGGCAATCATAATAACTTCTAAGCCCTCAGCCCCAGATTCCCGGCATTTATTCTTCCTAATACCTTCCCACCTAAAACAACACTGACACACCTGCACAATGTTTTTATTTGGGAAGCTGTAGTAGCAAACCAGGTCTGTGTTTTATATGAGTTCTGTGAAATCAAGAATCTAAGAAACGGACACACAAATGCACTGGCAAACAAAAGCAACAACCTCAAGTGATTAATCTCTTAGTGGTTGTTTGCAGACGGTCAACTTGAGAGGAGAAGCACAGATGTCTTGGAATGCTCCCTGCTGCCCTTCCACATTAATGATCATAAATTGTATCTCAGTCCAGCTACAATCTGGCCTTCTCCTCAGCTATTTCTCCTAGAAGACACAGTGAGGTATGACATACACACCAACATTAATCACAGAACAGAACGTTGCTTGTGCAATGCTGCTAGGTTAACTTTAGTGCAGGTTTATTAAGACAGAGTTTGTGCTTCATAAAGCTGATGCTGTTGTTTTTATGCTTCCTGTTCCTAGGGGCCATTTATTGTTTTGATAACATGGGCTCAGGTTGATTTGTGTATTATCCTTAAAGCATGTTCTGCAAGCCAGTGACAATGAGGTCAGTCCATTTTTGGTGTGTGATAGATCTCTATTCTGACTATTTAATGTCACTTGTTTTTGGACTATGGCGCCTGTACACGCCAGCCCCTTACACAATGCCCATGTTGTCATACTTGCTGCCAGTAATGGTTTCTTGTGGTAAATACGAAAGTAAACTTACATCCCCTAAGATTTGTTTTAATCAGTAATCAAAGCTGACATTCTTGCATTGTCTTCTTTTGTTTAGCTCGGCCTGCCTCCATGAGACAAAAACAGAGAAGCTTATAATTTCGGATCAGATTGTCATTTTTGTGGATTTCTTTCGACCAAGTGTGAGAACCACAAACATCCATGGCATGAGCATGGCCTGCGTGTTTAGAGAGCTGTCTGTTGAGACAAGAACAAGACACTCAGTGGGATTATGCACCATACTGTGAGTCATGCACAAATATGCACTATGACAATGGCACTGCAAGTAAAAACCTCTTTTACCACAGTCTTGCTTATTACTTACCAGAGATATTGTCTTTAATGTTCCACAAATTCTTCTTCCTGGTCAAAACCTGGCACACACACTACCCACAACAAAACTTGACCGCCAGTGAACCGGTCTGAGAATCAGGTGCATTATGTGAGTAGTGGCTAATGTAGCCTTGACCATCAAGCACAGATGAGGAGTGGCCTACAGAGGTCTGGTAAGCTAACTTAACTCTTAACTCAAGTGACATCACTTGAGGCAACTTATCAGATTTCCTGCAGCTCCCTTTGGAGCCACAATTTATATATATATATAATATATAATATATTTTTTTTTGTTTGTTTGTTTTTTTGTTTTTTTGTTTTACATATGAAGGAGTACTCCCCAAATCACCAAATGTATTCAAGAGGTTGATTCCTTAATTACAGTAGTCAGATTTTATTCCTGTGTTGGCACACCAGGAGTCCATCCAAACACTGGTCTGGTTTCACTCACATACATTAAAATGTAGTTGCATTTCATACAACTATTGGGTCATGTGTTATGATTGCAGTATGACCCAACTTACATAAGCCTGGGGCTGGGTATTGTCAAACAAGAGAGAATGGACTAAAGCCACTGTCGACTGTGTACCAGGCCCATTTATCTATTAAGCCTATAAATCACTACCATTAGCTGTAGCATAGCAATGCTGGATGAAAACCGTGTTTAAAAGGTGCGATTCCTGCCACCTGGGGACTGAGAGGTGTTGACACCATCTCCTCTCCTTATGGGACAGTTTTTCAACTTCCTCACTGAGGTTTTTAAAGGACATTGGCCGGAGAGACTGTGAAACCTGATTTATAGGACATAAACATGAAAGGTCAAAATACTTTATGAGCTGGCCTGGAAATGTCATTACTCGGATCACTGCTGTATATCTTGTCCTTAGATGGAGAAATGACATCCTGTGCTTGTAACTGCCCTCAGTACACTCAAAGAGACGCCACTGATTTACAGTAGAATATAGATCTTCACTTGTTTAAGTAGGGGTGGAAATGCCATCTTCTGTCTCACTTCAGACAAAGTCAGTCGCATGAAAGACCATGAATTTATGATAGGATTAGTTTCCCAAAAGCTGTTTTGTTAAAGCTCATCCTTGAGATAAATAAACACAGGCAGCAGCGTTTTCAGTGTTTATTCACTGTGAACAGATTCAGTTTGCTGACCTCCAGCTCTTGTTGATAAGGCTGTTGTGTTTTCTTCTCAAGCGTGACTCCGAGGTTTCTCCCCCAGTGCTGGACTCATGCTGGAATGCATCTTTATTTTGCTGGACGGTTTTCCCCTCTCCTTAATAAATGTTTACTGATTTACAACACTGAACATCATTTTTCCATAACTTTGCTTTGGCTTGCGCCCCGGTGATTTGAATTTAATAATTGCAGCGATAAGCTTACTGCCTTGTAAAACACATCTGAGAGGAGGTTTTCAGGCCAACACCTGCAGGTAACTACAGACTGGACAGTTACTTTTCCATGTGGGCTTTTATAGCTGTTTAGGAAGATCTGAACAGGTGTGCAAGTGCATATGTAAGGGGAGTAAGATTACAAGCGTTTGTGCAAGTATTAGAACGTGCATGAGTTGGCCTTCAGTGTTTGAGCTTTAAGCTTTAAGCCAAAAGCTATATAATTTCTTTAGGACACATTGCTGTATTTAAGTTAACAAACGCTGGGAAAAGATATTGTGCAATCTCAATGGGTTCTGTTCCCCAGACCTGTTATTTAACTCAAGACTGTGGTTGTGCTGTGTGTCCCTGGTTAAGTGTATTTAATCACAAAGTGGGAGTGTTGACAGTTGTCAGAGAGGTACTGTAACTAGGAAGAAATTCATCTGCTAACAACATTTGCTTCCTTATTGTGCCTTGTGGTTGTCTCACACCCTTTCCATCTAACCTGTCTGATATATATGTGTTTTGGTATTTGTAACAATGCCTACATATTTCCCCAAGTGCACACATGACAAGTGTTGTGTGTGTGTTTGGTTTTGTATTTGTGCGTGTGTTTAGGAGAAGACTCTGGCCCCAAGCCACAGAAATACACTACACAGCAGTCCTGCAGCTAAGCGGCAGATTTTTGTGGGGGTTGTTTGGTTCTGGTCTTATGTAAGTGGTGTCTGCTTTTTTTTCTCCATTCCAGATGTTGAGCTCCTAAATGTACTCCTCAATATGCACGTCAATAAGCGATAGAAATGAAAACAGCAGTAACACAGGCATCATAACAGACTCCCCGTCGCCTGGTGGAGACCTCTGTGAGTCACAAAGCAGTCCCACCCAATGAGAAGCTCTACAGGCCCAGGTTGTTAGCCGGCATGTCTCAGCTGCACACCTCTGATGTGGATCCAGAAGCTGACATCAGTATTACCGGGGGCAGAGAAGTGGTCGCAGAAATTCATGAGTCCTGTGACTTTGCGGCTGACCTCAGTAAACTCAGACTTCTGCCAACAACAATCTATAACATTTTCACGTTATTGTTCAGTTTAAATCATTTTTCTTAAAAATGTATTATGTGCAAATATTAAACACACAACTGTTGGACACAAGCCCTGGAAAACCAGCACTATTGATAAATGGATACACTGCATTCGAAATGTGCTGCAGGTGCTGAATTTGACCTTAGAAGTGACTCATACGCCAGCATCAGCTGCAAAACTATGATACCATTTTCTTCTGTACTCAGCTAGAATAAAACCCAAGGTCAGCCTCTGCCTTTTTATTTGCGGCAATAGTGCATCAGCATCTACTTTTGCCCTAGTTCACTTACAGCCAAGCACTGCCTCCAGAGTCTTGGATAACATATAATACAGATCTAATTTGATATCCAAATATTATCAGAAATGAAGATGGGCACACTGCTTTCTGTGGCATTTAAACCAGGTACTGTCAAGTTCACCTTTTTCTCACTTACCCCTAGTGTCATCTAGCAATGCAGACAGTACTGCTGAACATACTGCTTTGCATAATCCTTGCCATAACATCATTAAGTCATACTTGTTGCCTGCCATAATTAAGTGAAAATTCATGTTGGAAAATGTTCCCTGTCAATAGAACGACAGGTTACATTAAATATCCACAAAAGAATAAATAAATTTTTACAGCAGCTGTGAGTGCACATGCTGTGCATGTATGTGCGAGTGTATACTTCCTTTTGTCTACTGCCCACAGCAGCTGTCTGGTATTTTGAGGTTGGAGTGATTTTGCTACCATGGAACAAGGAAACTCCCAAGGGAGCTCTGCGGGCATGGCATATCTGAATGTAGCCAATCCCAAGCGCTGATCCCAATGGTCATCCTGTAGATTGCTTTAAATAAACGCTGCTAGGAAAACCACAAATCCAATGAAATACAGTATCACTCTATTATCCACTTTGATGAAATGGTATGTATACACACACACAGAGCATTATGTAGGTCAAACATGAGTCTGAGACGTCCACATTTGTTTTCAGCATTTAGCTCCTCAACTTGGAGTGAACTCTTGAATCTGATATGACACACTATTTTTCTAAATGTTCAATCAGAGGCCATGTTTTTCTTCTTGTAACAACATTCTGTGCCAAGATTTCGTTCTCCAATGTACTATTATTTTATGTATGCTAGCCTCTGTGTTTGTTTCCTACAGCACAGTACCCAGTAGCCCTGACAGCTTCCCTGTGGACTTTAGTTAAACACACTATAAGGGCATCACAGGATTCAGGTGGGTGGAGGATCCTGAACAAGAAGCCATACATTCAAAAATACCTCAGATAGGGACACAAAAACATGCACAAATTCAGATTAACACAGGCACACACATAAACAGACATGTCCACAAAGTCAGGATTTGCATGTAAACACATCTGCTCTGCTTAAAAAAAAGAAGAAAAGAAACTATTTTAGGTTACTCAATAGAAAACATCTATCATCAGCTGATAATACACGATTATGAAACATCCCATGTTGACAATGACTCAGCTGACAACAACATGAGTAGGTAAATCTGCCAGAGGGAACTCTCTTAATCACACAGCTGTGCTCTGCCCAGCCTTTTGCCACATTTACCAACATTACTAATTTAAGGTATTATTTTACTGCGTCATAACCGTGCAAAGGGGAATCAAACAGAGGGCAGAGGTTTAGTTAGGAGCCTTGGAGACGGTGTATGGTATACACATTACCACAGCCAGCGTGATTGACTCAAACGTGACTCATGTCTTCCTGCAGCAGTTCAATTGGTCAGCCAGGGTAAAGAGGCACAGACGATCTCAATCTCAGGGAGAACTCAGCCATAACTTTAGCATTTAAAGAAGAAGCTCTTACACAAAAAGGGGTATGAGTGCCAAGTTTCAACAGCCCTATTAGGACTCCAACCGCCTCACTGTACCTTAAGGAATGTGGGGCCACATCCAACTGTTGCTTCTTTTATTTAAGAGCAGAAAAACAATCTTACTTTTATTTCACTCAAAGAACCACTGCAGCAAGTAGAAGGTGAATGAACATCACAGAGCCCTTCTTAATGGGACAGTAAACAACCCATACAGGACAATCCCCCACTCTGTATTTCAGAGCAGGAGTTGTAAAGAAGATTGCACAAACTTGTCAGTGCTGTTTTTCTTTGCTGCTTCTGTAAAAAAAAAAAAAAAAAAAAGCTGCATTTTACATTACTGTCTCTCTGTGGGTCTCCTTTTACAAGCCTTTCTGTGCGCCGGTGTGCTCTTTAAGGATAGAAAGGGAAGAAGGGATGGAGAGAGCACTGATGCCGGCTTTTTGAGAACAAAGAACATAAACCAAGAGCCAAACATAGACATGGAGAGTGAAAGAAAGAAGAGCAGTGAGTCTTTGCCCATGTCTTACCATATGGCCTGGCCGTCCCTTGGGGTAAGAAGATGAAGAGGGAGATGAGGAGGAACCAGCCCTCCCTACCAGAGATAAAGGTGTTGGTCCAGGGGATTGTGTGGGTGCCCTGCTGGGTTTGCCCCAGCTGTAGTCCCCGTCTCGCAGACAGCATGCTGCAGTCTGGAACTCTGTTTACTTTCTGAACTCAGCTGACATCACCTTCCCTCGGCCCTTCTGTCCTTCCCTCCCCCTCCCTCCATTTCTCCCTCTCTCTCTCTGTCTCTCTCAGTTTCTCTCTCTTTCTCACTTCTTTGGCTTCAGGTTACAGCCCAGCCTCGCAAAGGAGTTCCACTTGCAGTGGTCTCCCAAAAACTCCCCTCGCTCAACTCAGTGGACGACGTCACTGCTTTTGAATGAATGCAGGCTCCAACGTTTAATGCTTAACTCATTATGGTGTCTCTCTCACACACACACACACACACACACACACACACACGTTTGTTCTATCCCCCTGGGGACATCTCACTGACATAATGCATTCCCTAGCCCCAAACAACTCACAACTACATGCCTAACCTTAACCCAATTCTACCCCTAATCCTAAAACCAAGTCTTAACTCTCAAACAGCACTTTAAACTTTTGGGGTCCAGGATTTTGGTCCCCACAAGTATGTGTGGAGTGGAATCCCAGTTTTTGGACCCCAAAAATATAGTAAAAAAAGTCCACACACACACACACACACACACACACACAAATACACAATGAGGGGAAGCATGAGGGGTCAAGACCAATGATGTGGTGATAGAATTTATATCTGCTTCACTGCTTATGTGTTCATGTCTAAAAAATCTTGAAGTCAGTGTTATTCAAGCTCACACCTTGGCAAGCTTGAAAACAACAGCCGTGTGTAGTCTCAGAAAGCAGTGTGTGTTAAACAACAGCATCCAGTCAGTCATTATTTTAAGATTAAAGGAACAGCTTTGTATAGTTTAATATTGACATTTTGCAAAATATGCTTATTTGCTTTCTTGCAGAGTTAGATGAGAAGATTGATACCATTCTGTGTCTGTAAGCTACAGCCAGCAAACTTTAGCTTAGTTTAGCATAAAAGCTGTACATCTAGCCCAGCTCTGTCCAAAGTTCACAAATTCACCTGTCCACACCTTTAAAGGGAAATTATGAATGTGTTATATTATGTCTTTTGTTTAATCCACACTAAAACCAAAGAGCAAAAACAAACAACAATTTGTAAATTTTTGGCTTGACATGGGATTTTGTTACCTTTGGAAAGAGCCAGGCTAACTGTTTCCCTGTGTTGTCTATCTTTATGCTAAGCTAACATATTTAACATTTAGACGTGACACTGGAATCTTTCCATATAATTCCCGTCCAGAAAGTGTCTTTCCCAAAATGTCAAACTATTCCTATAGCAAATGTACTACGCAATACACAAATACGGTATCATCTAAAGACTATGTTTTTCTGATGAGCCAGTTCTAATAACTTTTATCAGTTTGATATTATGCACTCACTGGCCACTTTATTAGGTACACCTGTTCAATTGCTTGTTAACACAAATAGCTAATTAATCAATCACATGGCAGAAACTTCATGTATTTAGGCATGTAGACTTGGTCAAGACAGCTTGCTGAAGGTCAAACTGAGCATCAGAATCGGGAAGAAAGGGGAATTAAGTGACTTCGAACATGGCTGGTCTGAGTATTTCAAAAACTGCTGATCTACTGGGATTTTCACGTACAACCATCTCTAGGGTTTACAGAGAATGGTCCGAAAAAGAGAAAATATCCAGTGAGCGGCAGTTGTGTGGACGAAAATGCCTTGTTGATGTCAGAGGTCAGAGGAGAATGGGCACACTGTTTTGAGATGACAGATAGGCAACAGTAACTCAAATAACCACTCGTTACAACCAGTGTGTGCAGAATACCATCTCCGAACGCACAACACGGTGAAAATTTAAGCAGATGGACTACAGCTGCAGAAGACCACACCGGGTGCCACTCCTGTCAGCTAAGAACAGGAAACTGAGACTACAATTCACACAGGCTCACCAAAATTGGACAATAGAAGATTGGAAAAAACGTCGGCTGGTCTGATAAGTCTCAATTTCAGCTGCGACATTCAGATGGTAGGGTTAGAATTTGGCATAAACAACACGAAAGCGTGGATCCATCCTGCCTTGTATTAGAGGTTCAGGCTGGTGGCAGTGGTGTAATGTTTTGGAGGATAGTTTCTTGGCACTCTTTGGGTCCTTTAGTACCAATTGAGCATTGTTTCAACAAGACATCCTACCTGAGTATTGTTGCTGACCATGTCCATCCCTTTATGACGATAGTGTACCCATCGTCTGATAGCTACTTCCAGCAGGATCATGCACGTCACAATGCTCAAATCATCTCAAACTTGTTTCTTGAATATGATAATGAGTTCACTGTATTCCAGTGGCCTCCACAGTCAACAGATCTCAATCCAACAGAGCACCTTTAGCATGTGGTGGAACGGTAGAGTAGTATCATGGATGTGCAGTCGACAAATCTGCAGCAACTGTGTGATGATATCATGTCAATATAGACCAAAGTCTCTGAGGAATGTTTCAACACCTTGTTGAAAGTATGCCACAAAGAATTAAGGCAGTTCTGAAGGCAAATGGGGTTCAAACCCGGTACTAGCAAAGTTTACCTAATAATGTGGCCATTGAATATATATTCATATGTACTGTATATGAACATACCAATAGCATGAAATTACATAATTCATTTTCTTATACAAAATGTGGTTAATGTTATTCTGCAAATTTATGGTGGAGGAAATTAATTTAGATACATTTTCATCCTTGTTTGCAAACCTGCTTTCAGACTTTAAGACTTTAACAACCAGCCAGTGAAAACACAGTTGCTCAAGATTTGTTTTTTACAAGGGTTGTTATTTGGTATGATCTCCTGGGTGTGTTTTATTTTGACTGGATACAGCACTGGAATTAATTCTTTTGTTGTTCTTTGCCTACTGGGACTCCAAGCTGCATGCAAGAGCTAACAGGGAATACAGATCAAACGACTCAGAGCACGAGAATCAAATATCCCTGGTGGTTTCCTAAAACAGCAGGACCATAGATGGAACACATGAGCAGTGCTCCAGTCTGTGTATGTGCATGGTAGGGAAACTGAAAAACAGACTGAAGTCAAGAGAGACTGAAAAAAAAGAGAAATCAAGACACAGGGTTACAGATGGAGAGAGAAGAAAATAAGGGAAATCAAGGAAGAGAGGGGGAAATGGAAACATTGTCCGCTGTGCTTTCTATCCTCCTTTCACCACCTCTCTACTGTTTGTCCAGATGCCTAATGGTTTATTATATGAAACCCAAGGCTTTCAGGTTAATGTGGCACTGGCTTAATATTTTCAGAGACAGCTGTAGCCTACTCTCTTAGAAAAATACAGACTGTATCATCACACACACAGAAAAAGTGTGCAATATATTATATAATTATAATATATAGTATATAAGATTTTAGTCTAAAAACTGTTGACTTTGTACACACAACACTATATATGTGTTACTTAATGATCAGCCATCAAAGAACTGTCACTCATTTTAATATACAGATGTAAGTAAGATAATATTAGACCAGATATCTTTTAGTTTTTGTAGGATTTTCTTCAGATGTATTAGTTTTCCTACATTCAGAGTTTACAATAACTATGAGTACTGGGGGCAAATACAACTTCCAGTACATAAACATGACTGTCCTGTAAAAAAATACATGTATCTCTAAAATGTCAATTTTTCATGAAAAAAGAAAAAACAGCTTTCTGGCAATGCTTTCCCCCCCTTCCAGATAATACAGTTAGCAATCAGTTTATAAATGGCCTCTTTGGCTTAAGAAGTAGGAGAATTTCCTTTATCCAGAAGGAGTACTTACAGGGCTTTCACACCAAAAGTGCAATATGCTGACCAATGCAATTCTGTCATAGACAGATCATTTTAATATTAATTCATTACAATTTTACAGTAAAGAAGATAATGAGGAAGTTAATTTTGTGCATATCAGAAGTCCCACAGTTATGTTATTCGACACTGATCTCACAGGGAGTCAGTTAAAAAAGATCAAGCATTGTTGAAAAAATCAAAGGGGGTTAAGATACAAGGTTAGAAAATGCATATTGTTATTGTTTAAATTAAATTCTTTTGTAGCTCATAGCATCCTAGTGAACTCATTTGCATGATCACATGCTGGGGGGGGGGGGGGGGGGGGGGTTGTGCTCAACCTTGTTCTTGCTCCACCATAACACATTCAGTTTTTCTGAATAATTCAAAATGAACAAAATTGGAGATGCATGGTTTACACTGGATATCAACAAAATTATTGTCTGATGATGGATGCCACATAACAGGTTCATCATAAAACTCAATAATACCCTGATGTGTAGTTCTATCATGTTGTCATTAGTATCTGTTTTGCTCACTTGACTGTAGGAGACCATCATTTTGATTACCAGACAAACAGAGCCCCGCCGCTACCTTCATTCATTGTTACTGTAGTAGAGCCATTTTCTCATGACCCACAGATCAACAGCTCATCCTAGGCTGCATTATAGAAATTTCTCAGTTGGCAGGGACTGTGGCTGGTCAAAGAGAATGGGACCCCCTGCCCACAGTGCACAGTAAAATCTCATTACACTAAGGAAATTACCTAGAAGCCATTACACTTAATGATATCCACTGTTGACTACACATTTGTAACAGAAGTTTTTTCAGAGGCTATTTGTACATGTAAGTGCAGTCCCATAATGATGATGTCTGATCAAGTTATTATTAATAGCTTTAACTTGTTTGGGTTGCGTTTGAGGTCGCAGAGTTCTCACAGGGTCTGACAAAATGAAGGTGTCGGTCCATGGAGCCGTGTTGTTTTAATATGAAGGGATCTAATGACGGAATCGCATTCATCCCATTTCTATGGTTACACACACCCCCACCCCCACCCACCCACCCAACAGTTAATGGTCTCATTCCATCATAGCAGGACCCGCTGTCTCCATTACGTGCGGTGGATGGAAAGTAGGCCGTCTACTTCACAGGTAAGACAGATGCCTGCACCAGCTTTTTAGCAAAGCCAGGGACAACTGTTGGCAGGAGCACAGTGCCATGACGAGGTGCAGTTCAGTAACTTAATAGTGCAGGACAGCGTCAAACTGGATGCCAAATATGCTCTCAT